CCCCATACCCTCCCCAGCTTCTGCACTGACAGAGGACAATATGACAGGGGACACTGATGGACATTATGTATTCTGAGCCCAGTCTGTGTAATAACATTAATTGTGTATTTAATTAACATACATTATGACAGGGGACAGTGATGGATATACATGATGGATATTATGTGGGCTTGGAATACATAATATCCATCAGTGTCTCCTGTCCTGCCATAGTGCACATCTCCCTATCTGCCTGCCTACCTTTCTCTGATTCCAGCAGACTGAACTATCTGGACTGGAGAGTACAGTAGATACAGCGGCGGATTGATATCTGCTGTACTCTCCAGTGCAGGCCGGGCCGGAACTTTAACTTAATTGTCGGGCGCCGCGGCTCCTGATATTAATGCGCCGGCCGAAAGTGAGGAAATAGTCCTCTCTCTCCCCGGGCCATACCACTTTAATCGGAGAGCCCGGGGGAGGCCGGGACAGTCTGACATTATGAGGTTCCACAGGCTGAACCACAAATTCCCCCTCTAGTTCTCTCTAATGCAGATGGGCCGGTCTATGCAGACATGACGCCGCGACCCACTGCAGAGGGTGTCGCGACCCACGAGTTGAGAACCACTGATTTACATTGTACTCAATATTATCTGAGGACACCAGCACCCATCCCCTCTATGTTATGGAGGAAAGGAGAGGGGCAGGTTTCCATACTAGGGTGACAATGCTGCTCCTCCACTGATACAGTATGGTGAGTGCTGTTGCAACAGGACAGAAGAGTGTTACTGGCAGGATCGCCAGATGAAAATAAGAGAAAAAAGCTTGAGAAAGAAAACAAATAAAAGACACCACATCTAAAGGCCGATAAGCTGCAATATATTTTTGTTCTTGGGTTTAACTTGGTTATTGTTGCATTGTGCATTGTTCATATCATTGTTATCATATCATCATATGCATTGTTCATATCAAAGAGTATCAGAAGGTGGCAGCATCGTCCTTCAAGTAACAATCCTCAATTCACTTGCATGAAATTTTTAAATCTCTTTTCATAAACAAACACTTCTTAGAATATAAAATAAAATAAGTCTGTGTTTATACTTCTTTTCAGGGAAAATGAGGAATTATGCTGATTTTCAGCTGCTTTATCACACTTATTTATATGCTGTAGTTGCAAAAAACAAAAGAGTTTTCATTTTAGCAGCATCATTGACTTTAGATTCTGGCACAACTAAAGCACCAGTTTATTATACACTGAGTGGCCAGATTATTATGACCACCCCATCAGTACTTTGTTGGGCCACGAGATAACTCCACGAGATGACTTCGTTGGGCCGCCTCGTGACTCCACGAGATGTTGAAAGGTGATGCGAGGAATCTGACACTGCACTGTTGCCCTTCTGTTGTCTTGTACCAGTCTTGCCACTCTCCTTTCTGCCCTAACATTGACTAGTCGCTGACGGCCACAATTCGCACGTTCAGACCCAGATTTTCAGCTGACAGTCCAGTCTTTAAACACTTTAACAGCAGCTGCTCTTAACCCTTTCGCTGCCAAGGACGTACAGCATACGGGGGAACAAAAGTGTTCCCGGCTGGCCAGCTCAGTATGCCGTACGAACCTGACATTTTGAGACTCCATGGATCCCCGCTGCTGTCCCCTGCTTGTAGGGTCTGTGGCAGCGTGGAACCGTAATAAAATCACCGGCGGGGGGGTCGGGGGAGCAAGCGGTGGCTGGCCGCAATTCAGGATGGCCGAGCGGTGTTCCGATCGGAGCCGCAGTCATCCTGTCAGTTTTTGGATGACAGCGGCTCTGTGCGTGGCCGAGTGGGTGATCATTGATGATATTTAACGATCCCTCTGTGCGGAGCAAACACCGGAGTGATCGTCTGATCACTCCGGTGTTTGTAAATAACTGGAGACACATAGTACTAAGTGTCCCCAGTTATGAATGAACAGGCTGTGATTTACATCACTTCCTGTTCATTCAAGAATTTATGAATGGGGACTAGCACTCACTACAGAGGCTCCTCCCCATTCAGAAACTAATGATAGTAAGATATCTTTACTATCATTTAGTTTCTGAATGAATGGGAAGCCTCTGTACTGAGTGCTTCCCATTCATTGAGTGCTGGGGCTGCAGAAAAAGAAATTGAGGACTCTATGTCCTCAATTTCTTTTTCTATTTCAAAAGGGAAATGTCAGGGGTCTATTTGGACCCCAGATATTTCACCGCAGCCCCCCCAACAGTTATAAAAAATGTATTAAAAAGTAAATAGAAAATGTAAAAAAAAAACCAAAAAATTAAAAAAAGTGTACAAAAAAAACTAATAATAAAAATGCACAACCCCTCCCTCCCCCCACATAACATAAACATATTGAGGTGTACGCCATGCACATGCGCTGCAGTGTGCTGTTAGAATGCATCGCAGTCCATTTTTACAATATATTTACAATACATTTTTTTTAATGTATTTTTTTCTTTTAAAAAAAGTGTAAATTAACTGTGGCAGCGCATGGTAAAGCTTTGTGACGCATTGCCATGCGTTGTGATCTTTGTGTTGCAATAAATATACACCTGTATCATTTTATCACAACACAAGCACCAACACTGCGTAAAAACAATTTTGTAACATAAGTCGCTTATTTACAGTTTTGCGTACCTTAATTTTTTTACCTTTTCGCAAAAAGGCGCAATTTAAAATGTGCAAATATTTGTTATTTATTAACTCAATACAGTTTGCGCAATTATCGCACGGCCTACAAATTTAGTATCACCATCTTTTTATTCTACCGGGCCTGCGCTTTCAGAAAATATATGGTTTGGGGGGTCTTTTACAAACGCTAGCAATCCAGCAGTTGAAAATCAAATCAATGGGAAAAAATTGCAAAAATGGCGTGGCCAGCTGATTTGAAAAATGTTCCGGAGGGCTTGGCACAGAAAGGGTTAAATAGTTAACGAATTCTGCTGTTTTGCTGATATTCGCTCCATGGCTCCGAGCGCCAACAATCATCCCAAGTTCAAAGGCTGTTAAATCGCGATGTTTACCCATATGTTCAGAAAAAATCACTTCTACTGTTGTGGTAAACAATCTGCTTCACAATTTATAATGGTCTGGCCCTCTAGCAACTTTCCAACAATTCTCCAACAATCACTACAAACTATTGTGTTAAATTGAATTATTCGGAAAAACAAGTATCTAAAAAGTGTTCCTTCTGAAAAGTGTGATTCCACCCACTTCGTGCCCCACACTATAAACACTTATACTGTAAAAGTAATTCCATATAATGTAGAATTCAGTGTCTTTCCAATATTGTCCCATAAATAGTATAATAAATCCACTTTGTGCTCCACCGCTACCATAAAAGTGCATTCAGGTGATAACCCCAGCTATGTGTGCTCAGTATCGCACTCACCAGAACAGGCAGACCATAAACAAAATGGTCAAAAAGCTCTCCATATAATCCCTGTCAGTTTTCAGTTTCTTGTGTTCCTTACTTCACTCCAGAAAATAAATGGTTAATCAACCAGCATAAAGGCAATCTTCACTATGTTCTCAATTCTCAGGGAAAAATAAATCATTCAAATCTAGTAAGCAGCTTTGCATTCGAAAAAACAAGGCCAGTCTTACTCCTGCTGAACACTTCTATCGTAAGATCCTCTCCCTTCCCGGAAGTTCACTGAGACCAGCGTGGTGACATCAGTGTGTAGACTCCTCCCAAAGCGTCTCCCGACCTACTCTTCCTGGCTGAAGCCTGTAGATGGTCAGAAGTCGGCCTAGTCAGGATCCATCATTGTTCCTGGGATGGAGAACCAGAGAGGAACTTCGTCTGCTGGAGGTACTGGAGAAGCCAGAATGGGTTTGGACCTCAGAGAGAAGTCTGGTATCTTACCCAGCAGAGATCTCAAAATGTCTGCCAGCCATGGTGTTCTAACACAGTCACTGCATTTTCAGTTTGAGGCCCTCTACATTGTGAAGCTGGAGAGCATTTGGTGAGTCTGGAGTTCTGTACTGTACTAGATGTCTGCAGCCACATAGCACTCCCTGTTTTGCTGTTGGTTCTAGTAAAGCATTCCAAAAATTCTTAAGGTGTCTTTCGCCCCATTTCACTCCACACATCCCACATTCTGGCTAAGGATCCATCCCTGAGGTGAAATGTCAGCCCTTCATGCTCCTAGAATCCAGGGGGGCACTACACATGCAATATACACACAGAGGGTGCAGTCACAAATTATCCCAGGAATAGGCATTTGAAAACGGAAAATAGAATTGCTGGGATTTGTAGTCCTCTATAGTCGGTGTCATTCTGCATTCATTGCTGTATAATTTTACACTTTCCTTTTCACTATATTGCACACCACACTTTTTTTTTTATTCCACTGCTCCAAGCTTGCAGTAATAGGAACCATAAAAATAGATGTAGTGCCAGGAAAAAGGGGAATATTTACACATTGCAAGCGTCATTCAAGTGTTACCTGTAAATTAGTGATACCTACAAATCTAACTCCTCCCCTCCTCTTCCTCTAGGGCTCCCCCAAGGCTCTGTCCTTGGACCTCTTCTCTATCTACACCTCCTCCCTTGGTCAGTTAATGACCTCACATGGCTTCCAAGACCATCTCTATGCCAATGACTCTCGAATATATCTTTCTACTCCACAACTCACCCCCACAGTGTCCTTGCGTGTCACTAATCTACTAACTGACATATCAGTCTGGATGTCGCAACACTTCTTAAAACTCAACCTTTCAAAAACGGAGCTCATTATATTTCCTCCCCCCGTGTACCTTCACCCAACTTTACCCTTGAGATTGATAACACAACTATCCGTCCCTCCCCTCATGCCAAGGTCCTAGGTGTCATTCTTGACTCAGACCTCACCTTTCTTCCCCACATCCAATCACTATCCAAATCCTGCCGTCTTCACCTTCGTAACATCTCCAAAATACGCCCCTTCCTCACCAAAGAAACCGCAAAACTACTCATCCACTCCCTTGTTATCTCTCGTCTTGACTATTGTAAATCCCTCCTCATTGGCCTTCCACTACACAGGCTATCCCCCCTTCAGTCCATCATGAATGCTGCTGCTAGACTCATCCACCTAACCAACCGCTCAGTGTTTGTGACCCCCGCCCCCCCACCGATCCATGCACTGGCTTCCAATAGCCCAAAGCATAAAATTCAAAATATTAACAACGACTTACAAAGCCATCCACAACTCTGCCCCCGACTATATCTCAAACATTGTCACAAAGTATCACCCAAACTGTCCGCTCCGCTCTTCCAAACACCTCCTGCTTTCCAGGTCCCTCATCAAGTCCTCCCATGCTCGCCTCCAAGACTTCTCTAGAGTCCATCCCATCCTCTGGAACCCTTTACCCCAACCTGTTCGACTATCTCCCACTCTGACTGTCTTTAGGTGATCCCTTAAGACTTATCTCGTCAGGGAAGCCTATCCCACCTCAACCTAACCACTGAACAATCACGTTCTCAAACAATTCATCCCCACACAGCTACCTCCTCATGTATCACTTGCCCATCCCTTTTAGATAGTAAGCCCTCACGGGCAGAGCCCTCCTTACAATCTTGTCTTGTATTGTAATTGTAATGTCTTCCTTACATTGTAAAGTGCTGCGCAAACTGTTGGCGCTATATAAATCCTGTATAATAATAATAGTATTTTAGCTAGTTGGGGCTTGATTGACAATGTCCATACACACAACATGATTCCTACTGGCAGTTTTAGGAGAACCTGAAGAGCCTAATTTGTTGTCCCTCCCAATCCAGACCAAAAAAATGCCAATCGCCTGAATTTGCTTCCAATGGCTCTGCTATTGTATATGCTTTATTCTGTCCAAATCCTAAAGAAAGCCTAAGGAAACCACAGTAAGCCCGCATTCACACCTGCACATTCTGTGAAGGTGTGTCATGTTCCTGTGTGGTGTTTGTCGCACATCCCTATTGAGATTAATGGGACCTGAATGCTCGACAAATGCGGCAAAAAAGCTCATGTAGTAAATATTGTGACATGTTTTTTGCTTCCGAGTTCATGCACGTTTGAATGTGCGCAAATGCAGAGCAAAACCGTGCATCTTCTTGGCCGTGTTTGGGGTCACATTAAAAATGAAAGGCAATGCAAGCGCAGTATATGAACAAACCGCACTATCCAGAGAATTCCAGACTTTTCAGACTTTATTGAAATTCACAGCAAATCCAGTATAACAGTGAATTAATGTGTATAAAGCAGCAAATACCAGCACTGCACACCCCCAAACAATTACAACCTCACACATGTTTCACCCGTAGGCTTATTCACTAGTCTATTCACAGTCTGAAGTACTGGAATTCTCTGGATAGTGCGGTCTGTTTGTATACTACTAAATTTCCAATGTGGAGACGCACCTATTAAACCAGCACCTGGGGAGTCCTGATGGCGGCTAAGGAATTGGAGCGGTGAGATTGCCTTTGGCTCGGCGTTGCGCATTTTGCAGTGTTTCCATCAAGCGCCAAAGAGCGTGTTTTTGCAGGTGTGAATCCAAGCTTACATAACCTGCCACCAGGATTCAATAGGCTGTAATGGATCATGCTTTCACTTCCTGCAGTTTCTAATTATCTGTTGCCTACTACCTAACTACAAGGGGTGATATTTATGAGTGCCCGGAAAACACAAACTGCCTCTTTGCTCTTTTGTAAGAGAAGCAAGGATGTTTCCATTGTCAACCCCCTTCATATGAACGTGCTTGTTATCTGCCTACGTTACTGACACTCTGGCTTTCATGCTTTGAGCTTAGAAGGTATTGAAGAGTGGATCAACATTACAGCCCGGCAATTAGCATTTTCAAAAAGAATTCAACAATAGCAGCCCTCTAATCCACTTCTGTCAGCTTTACTTTAACAATCGGATTCTTTCTTAGTGCTAGAAAAAGAAAAATCTATAGATTTGGATAGAATGGTGAGGGGTAAAAACCACTGTCGGGTGTTTATTGCTCTTTCTACTTGTCCTGATCCCCAGTGTCACCAGATTTGAAAGTAAAGGTAAATCCAAAATTCTGAGCTGCCACCAACACAGGAATAATGGGGAAATCTTCAAATGGACAAATGTTCCTGTGACAACTGTCTGAGAGGGGATATCTCTCACATTGAACATATAACCTCTCACTTCCTGTTGATTTTACATGTCAGGAAGTGAAGAAAAATCTCCCTAATAAAACATAGATGGCAACAAAAAAAATTGCCCAAAAAACTTTTAACCCTCCAGTTCTCTATCCAAAAAAAATTTATAAAAAGCTTTCCCTTTAGATATAGAGTACTTCAAGAACAACAGTGAAGAAAGTGGACTAAAATGGGGTATAACTACATCATTTTGGTCACACAATAACAATGTCACTGTTATTTCTACTACTGAGGAATAACAGTGCCATTTACTCCAAAAATATTGGGTAAAAACAAGTAACATTTCTCTGAGCTACTACAGTGATATTCCAGGTACATGACATATCCAATCTTTCCCTCAAGCACCCTCATCTGTGTATCCTCTACAGCAGTAAATGTATGCAAACTAGGAGAGAAAAAAGAAAATTGCCATATGGATACTCCATGTGGGATTTGTAACTGACTAGAGTTAAAGCTGAACACCAGGCAGCTATAAAACAAATTAATTAATGGAGCTATGTATGAATTAATAAATCATTACATATATTTATAACTAAAACTAGTGCAAGAATTTAACATGGTAACCGCTTCTTCCAATCAATCCCATGTATAGTAGCACTCATACTTGGTCAGATCAAGCAGAGAGATTACTGCATCAGTCTGCTGCTGCTCCTATAATGTCCAGTCAGAAGGCTGGGGTCAGGTAGGTTCTGCCACTGTATTCCTTAACTGTGGTATCACCCCTCTGGCTGTTGGTGTTGTGAGATGGGGCTATGTAAATCGCTGGACTAAATGGACAGAAGAGAAAATCTCTTTGTAGATAAAACAGCTCTTTATAAGTGTATAATTATTTAATTTGTGTCCAGCTATACTCTAACTGCTTCTCGGGAAGCTGCAAAAAACACTGTGCAATGTCGTTGTGAGCACCTACTATTAGTCCCTGTGACACATGTCATTTAGACAACTGCAGTTGGTTATAAGACCAGAAGTAATTGTGCGTTGGGGGCAGTTGTTTTGGCTGCTGTTTCTGCATAGACACATTTTACAGTTTGACAAGTGCAATTATGAAATTGGCTTTACTTAATACTTCTTGATTCTTACCTGTAGAAACTGCAGGCGAGAAAGCAAGTCAGATACATAGCTGCCCAGGGGTTTCAGTGAAGGGTAGGATTTAGCAGCCCACATAGTAGGTACTTTCCCAACAAGCATACTGTTAAGGACATTCTCCAGCTCAGCTGACATTAACACTTGGCCTTTGATAGCTTTGCCCAAATTGATCAGACTGCTCCGTACAACATCTGTGAGCCTGGGGACAAGAAACAAGCAGAAGACTGAGTAAAAAAATGACAAGATGATATTTTGCACCAATGAAATTAGACATGGCACCTGCAGTCTGCTTAAAGTGATAAATGACTCTGGTCACACTAATATCTAAAGCCCAGGCAGATCAAACGAGTGCAAATCAAGCAGCAAGACCTCTAATTCCCAACACTGCAGCTATTTGAAATTCATAATCTATTAAGGTCTGCAATGTCACCAGAATACAAGTCTGAATGCTTGTCATTCAGCTAAACTAAAATCTTTCACAAGCAACAATAGCTCTGACCTTCATTTTGTAAAAGATTAAAAGCATAAATAATGCACTTAGCTAAACACAGCAAGCTCTTTCAAATGATGGGAATTTTACATCAATGTGTTTCCTAATATATCTTTATACAGGTGAACTTCTGTAGTGTAGTGACCCTTCAAGCATATTAAAGTGAATATGTTAAGCTTCACCTTTATAACAAGTTTGGGACAACTTCCTGTCCTCACCCTTCAGTCTTATAGATGTGCCTCACTACTTACCGCAAATGACCTGTTGATGACATGCAGTGGCCTCTGCCACCTGGAGTGGCTCTAGTCCTGTTTATTGAGCTGGCAGGCCAAGGTAAACTGTATCTGCAACTCCATAGGACTCAATGGAGAAAAAGTCTTCTTGCAGGCTTTCAAAAAGATGGCTTCTCCTTTTGGGCCAATGGAGAACTGGCTGCAATCTACTGTGACCTGTTGGCTTAGTGAGCATGCGTTTATCGGTGGGTTGCGATAAAGAAGCTCCAAATAGAGGTCCCTCACATCATGCATCACTAAAATATAGTCACACAGCAGCACTTATAATAAGTATATGAAAGGCAAAAATCCCCAGAAAAGTCGAGCGGCTGGAGCACAGGACTTACTCACTCTCATTGTTTAATTACCACATTCCAGCCAGATGTTAAGCAACTATTGACTGAATAGAATTAGAGTGGTGTGGTGACAGGGTCATGGCATTATTCAATAAAGATTTCTTAAGATTCCTAAGAAAATTCTTACGTGAAGTAACTGGTAGCAACCAATAAGAATTTACTTTGTAGAAGTGAGAGCAGAACATTATGAATGCTGATGAGCTGGGAACAAATTATGACTTGCTCAAAATCTATCTATTCCTGTATTTACTCAGAGCCATACCCATTGTTGTCAATCTCTACTTCTCTGTAGGGTTGCAAATTGGGACTGTCCAACTAAATTGGCCTTTCCTTTGGCAAACCTTCAGTGTATTTAAAATATAAACTCCCTAACATGCCCCACGTTTTAATTACAAAGACTGCATTTCAGCCAACAATGGGCATGGGACTTAAAGGTAGGCATTCAGTGGAATAACTTGATTTAATGCAAAGGCCTTCACTGGCTTAGCTTTATAACATGCAGAGATATTTGCTTGCACACTGTAAAGTGTATCTATAGCCAAAATATTTTTTTTTACATTGTTGATAGAATAGTGACGGGATAAAACCCATTTTAGGTCATGTTTGCGGTCTATGTCCTGCTATGGAGATTTGCCTTCACTTCCTGTCTGGGAGATATAACAGGAAATCTTCCCAAAGTGAGAGGAATTCCCATCTTTGTTGCCAGCAGATGATAATTCTCCTCCAGAAGATGTCCCTTCAGCTGCTGCTCACATTACAACGCTAAAATTTAGTTTTTTCCTTACTTTCTGTCTCGGAGACAATGGTTACCAGGACAAACAGAGGGTAAATATCACCAGCTATGGGGACAGACAGTTATGAAAGCTTGGCAGAGCTAGCCTTTCCCCACTCTAGTCAGAACTAAAAAATGTTTTGCCTTTACACACACTTTAAATATACGAACAAATTAAGACCAACAAGCCAGCGTTAGTGATGTTATCCTTTCCTATGCTATCCTCTTCTATTCAGCATGCTAATTGCAAATAGGGCAGCCGGTCACATCCAACCTGGAAATCCTCATCCAAAAATAAATCTCATGAAGACTCTGATGAAGGGGGTTCCCCCCCGGAAACGTGTTAGTCTGTCCATGATTAACGCCAAGTCTGCTCTTTGGGTTTATTACCACTCATGTATGGATTTTCCTACATGCAAGAAGTGAAGTGCTGGATATCCTTATATTACACGCATCTATCCATTTTATGATTGTGAGTATTTTATTCTGTTTTCATAATAAATCAGTTGTATGTACTTCACGAGGTGAAGGCGCCGTCCCTTGCGTTTTTTTTCTACACTTTAAATATATATTAACATACCTTAATTATATGCAAAGTGTTTTATTGGCATATCCTAATACATTCCATATATGTGTACAACTTATTCTAACCACTATAATCCATTTTCTATAATTGCCATTTCACAAGCTTAATTAAATTCCCATTTTACCTGTTAAAGCGGATCAGTTCTTGCCTAAGCACTGTGTTCATTGATTCTTCATACACCACAGGATATTTTTCTATCACTTTTTCCAAATTGAAATCATTTGGCAATTTATTTAGTATATCTCTTGCCAAATCTTCAACTATTTCCTATGAATAAAATACAAACAATTATTAACCAGTTGAAAGAAACATATATTAAAGGTTCACAGGCAATGTTCGGGTGCCTGCAAGATATCTAGAAGATGAAAACATTACTATATAAAATACATACATGCCCATATCTAAAAGGAAAGTGTATGTTGCCCCCAGCAATCAATCTAAACCTACCTTCTATTTCACTTTGATAGGATAAATCCTTTTAAGGTACCTGTTTATAAACAAAATATGACATTCTCAAATTCTCCAGCCACCTGGACCATAAGTATAGCCACCCCCCACATACCTCTTTGTCTGCAATAATAAGTTTGCCAACCTGACATAAAACAGATAAAACGCACCATAGCAATACAGTTCCCCTTGAGGTACTGTATATAGATAAACTTTAATAGGCAGAAATAATAGCACAATATACAAAGAAAACTAAAATATATCACATTAATATTATGAAGTGTAAAATTCAAGTTGTCATAGTAACTGGCATATTTTCATATAATTTGTGACCTCAATTGGAAAAGGTATGGTCAAATATAAAAACAATGCCATTGAAACACATGATCATATTACAAGAAATTACATATTTACACATCTCTTAAGTCATTATTGTTAAACACAATATATTATATCAGATTATTTCAGTTCTTAATATTTTTACAGTTCTTATTATAGAACTTATTATAGTTCTTATTTCAGTTCTTAATATCCAGTAAGAGAGCAATATCCATTGTTATCGCTGCAATCACCCCCAGACTTTTAAACAGAAGTTTCCATATATCTGGCTCCATGATGGTTCCAGTATTATAATCAAATAAGACTATTCATTTTATTAATTTGTGTAAAACATAATATTTGACTCATATATGTAATTATGTTAAATATTATACAGTTGGGCAAAAAAGTATTTAGTCAGCCACCAATTGTGCAAGTTCTCCCACTTAAAAGATGAGAGAGGCCTGTAATTGGCATCATAAGTAGACCTCAACTATGAGAGACAGAATGAGAAAACAAATCCAGACAAATCACATTGGCTGATTTGGAACGAATTTATTTGCAAATTATGGTGGAAAATAAGTATTTGGTCAATATCAAAAGGTCATCTCAATACTTTGTTATATATCCTTTGTTGGCAATGACAGAGGTCAAACGTGTCCTGTACGTCTTCACAAGGTTGGCACACACTGTTGCTGGTATGTTGGCCCATTCCTCCATGCAGATCTCCTCTAGAGCAGTGATGTTTTGGGGCTGTCGCTGGGCAACACGGACTTTCAACTCCCTCCAAAGGTTTTCTATGGGGTTGAGATCTGGAGACTGGCTAGGCCACTCCAGGACCTTGAAATGCTTCTTACGAACCACTCCTCTGTTGCCCGGGCGGTATGTTTGGGTCATTGTCATTCTAATGTCCCCCGCACAGTCACACACTATTATTATACATTTATATAGCTCTGACATATACTGCAGTGCTGTACAGAGAAGTCACATCAGTCTCTGTACAGAGGAGCTTACACTCTAATGTAGAATACCATCAGCTATAGAGGACTAAAAATCCCTGCAAAACATTATACAGCAATGCAGAATAATAGTATATGAATTTTGGTACATACTTTGTGCTGTCGCTCTGCTTCGGGGTACCAGCCTGAAGTCTCGGACAAAGGGTCTCAGGAGGGAAAGATGGGCAGCCGGTGGAAACCCTGTAAGAAGGCACCGCGTGGTACCGCCGTGGTTGCTCTGCCCCCCGCCTCTTCTGTCTCGGGGGCCACTCGACACATTTTTTTCTCTCATGGGGGCCATCTGCCACATTTCATACATTCAATAAAATGTAACTATATCCAGTTTAAGTACTACAGACACTAATACACACACACACACACACAATACGGCCCCATTCATATTCATGTAGGTTTAGGTGCGATTAGGGATTCCTGCATCAGAAACTTGCGTTTTACTGCAGCAGAAATCCCTAATCTGGCGTTTACAAGTGGCAGCTGTCACCTATTCAAGTTCATGATCAGGTGGTAGCAGCTCCATGTAAACGCCTGCACACCGCATGTAATGGAATGTGATATGATTACATGCGGTTAGAAAACACTCTCCCTGAATGCACAATCGATGCATCCAGGGAGAGTGATTGATTCCTAACTGAATGTAAACATATCATGTATCTTTACATGCGGTGTGCAGGCGTTTACATGCAACTTCTGTCACCTGATCGTTAACTTAGGTAACAGCTGCCATTTATAAACGCCAATTTAGGGATTTCTGTTGCAGAAAAACGCAAGTTCCTGACGCAGAAATCCCTAATTGCACCCAAAATAAAGATGTGAATGCAGCCTATTACACTTCTACACAACCCCACACGTAACAAAAAATACAACCCCTGTACTTTATATAGAGATATATATATATATTAGGGATGCACCGATACCGGTATTTTGGTACCGAGTACGAGTACCGATAATTTTTTTTCGGGACTCGCCGATACCAATTACCGATTAACGTATATTTACATATGAATGGGCCGCAGCTTATTGATATGCAAATCACCGTTGCCCATTCATATGTAAATATAACGGCCGGGGCAGGGTGATGAAGCACAAAGATATTGGTGAAACGCTGTGAGTCAAACCCATCAAACTGCAATTACTTCTATGAAATGTGAAATATACATCTAAGAATGATATCTATGTGATCTAACTTGTATACAGTATAATCGGATAATTGGATATGAATAGTTAGAGGCAAATGTGTACATTGAATGAGCATCTCCATCATTTTGCATGCTACACATTTGTATTGTTTTAAACTGTTGTGTTTAAAAAAAAAAGATTTTGAGCATTTGTCATACATTGCCTATAACCGGGTACCTTAAAAGTCCATTTTGAAATAATAGAGGATTTACTGAGTTACTATGGGATGGAGTACGCCTAAATAAATCAACCCTTCTACTATAACTTGATTCTACAATATCTGACAGAAAATGACAAAATATACATTTTCATTTAGACATTTTTCACATAAAAGACCTCTTGTATTTGAGAACAATTCAGTAAAAACAGGGCCTAACATAAAATTGGTAGCCACTGAAATAACTAAATATAACCAATTATTTTTTAATGGAAGCACTTGATATGCAGTGCAGGGCACAGAATAACCCCATCTACTTATGTTTAATGACACCATAGGCAACACAGAAAGGAGAAGGTAAACTCAGTAATGCAATTAATACTTGCACCTAATTTCCTTGCAGTACTTAATATGCACTTAATATGCAGTCCAGGACATGACACCACCACCCCATCTACTCATGTTTAATGACACCATAGACTACAGAGAGGTGGGTAAACATTTTAAGGTATTATAGAATTCCAGAATGAGAAATAGGAAATATATTGCTAGGAAAGAGGAGGAAAACTGGCCTAAGAGAAGCTAAGGTTTAAAAATCCCCCTGTATCTGATAGTTAGATGCATGGGAAAACCATAAAAATTAAATGTTGTGTTCCTATAATTGTATCAAACTTCAAGGTTATTTCACCATACAGGTTTACAGTATTTCAACAAATATACTGTATGGAAACAGATAGAAATAAACAAACATTCCAGCGAGTAACGTTTTCTGCGCCCTAGTCTTTGAACTGCCATATATATCTGTCCAACGTGTTTGAATAACTATAAAAGGATCACATTTTAATTATCTGAGGTAATGAGATAAAGCAAGCACTGGAGGACTAGCATATGTTTAACTTTCATTCTCTCTGTGCAATCCCTTGCAATCCTTAAACTCACAGTCGGGAAATTGAAGCTGGCCCCCCAATTCAACATAAGTTGATTTTTTTATAGTTTTTGGTTGAAGGAGCTTGTCTGAAAAAGCTCATCTGTGACATTGACAGTTCAGGCATTGTGACAGCAGTGGGGATTACAAGAGCCCAGTAGGGGGATTCTCCCATCTACGTGGTTTAACCTGGATGGGGAATCGGGTGGGGCTGAATAAAAAATAAGCCAGTGTATGGCCAGCTTAAGGTACTGTATGACTCTAAAAGAAAAGAGAGGAAGAGGAAGGGTGGGATAGAGTTGTAGATACTCTCTATGTGTGAGGTTATGATGCATTTACAATGGCTCAACCCAACTCAGTGACTTTGGTAGCTGCTTTGAAGGACTTTGTGTACAAAAAAAACAACAAAAAAACACTTGAAAAATGGCCTGGATGGGAAGGGGGTTTAACACCGCGGATGTCAACTGGTTAAGCATTGCAGACCGTTTCTGTTTCAGGCAATGGGCAGGTGTTAAAGTATACAGTATGTAAACCCAAAAACAAAAATATTATGTATTGCAGCTTACCAGTCACTAGATGTGGTGGCTGCATTCCTTTTTTATGCTTTTTTTCCCCCTTTTCTTAGATCTGGTGATCCTGTCAGTAAGACACTTTCTGCTCCAGGGTGACAACTCTCATTCAGTGTACTGTATATATGGAGGAGCAGTGTTGTGTCTCCTGATTTCTACTCAAACACCTCTCCTTCTCCTCACCTCCATTACATAGGGAGAACAGTTTGTGTAGTTCACAGGAGATAGCTGGGAAAAATGATAACATTGTATTTTTCTTTACCAGCTGAAAATATTCTTCCTTAAACAAGAAAACTAATGCAGCCACCATATGTTAAGATTGGTAAGCTGGAATATATAACATTTTTCTTCTTGGGTTGAGATATTCATAAAGCAAAATTCTGAGCTGACATGTCCAATAAATACAACATTTGCTGCCAATGTACTTCCTAGAACACAATTTTATTTGTTCAGTTTGTTTCATCAGTAAGATTTTGCTCACCACAGTGGGAGTTACATGTGATAAACAAACAGATTGGAAGCATCTGTAAACCCAATCACTAAAATCACATTCATCTCATTTCAAAAGCATCTTTCAATCTTGTTAAATCTGCAGCATTTAATAAAACAATATTTGGTGATCCTGCTCTGAAGGTTCTTGTTCAAGCACTTCCAAC